CAAAAATATGAAGTTATAGGCGACATAAAGCTCATAACTTATGAAATCAAGGAGTGTATCTTCTGTACTTCCTATGATAATCGTGCTGATGCTGCATGTGTATTATCTCAGGGCTAACAGGCTAACAGGGACTGAGTCTGCTGTCTGACTCTAACTTACCAGCAGTGAAGAAGTAGTAAAGGTCCTGCATTTGAAATCTTATTTCAATTAAAAAAAAGTACAGAGCTATAATCAGCATAATGTACTTTAAGGAGCTATATGCAAGCTTTTGCTATCGCTAACGTTAGCATCGGCAGCGGTTACTTACCAGTCTAGAAGAAACGTTGCGAGTTCAACATAGAAGTTAGCATGCTAACCAGCTAGCATCACTTTCCATCACTGAGCCCCCGTAGCGTCCGGTCGGCCCTGAAGACGTGAACCTGTTGTCTTGTAAACGCAACAGAAACTCATGGCAAAACAGCAAAGTAAACAGCTGTTAATGCTAATGTTAGCGCTAATATTGGAGAATTTGATCTCTTTTGGTCTCAGTTAGTTACAACTCAGACTGAAACATGACAAGGGCCCTGACTGAACAATATATTGTATTTTATGAGATTATTTATTATTTTTTGATGTAAAAAAAAAATACAGTTTTTCCCCTTTAAATGAAGGAATTACATGAATGTACTTCAGTTACTGTATTTAGTTGAGTTTTCCACCACTGATTTCTGAATACCAGCCAACCGCAGCTTTTACCAGACGCGTTCGAAGTCTAAACTTTAGGAGTTTTTGATGGTAAAAAGAAGATTTTGGTCAGAGTATCTCTGACAGCGTAACCTGTGGAGTTCATTTTTACCTGTTAATTTCATCCTGGGAACAAACTGCAGCCGAACAGGTCCACAGACAAAACCACAACCATCCTGTCCGACCAGCTCTCGGCTCATTGTTCAACATTAACAGGCGTTTCTCTGACGTTTCCTCCGTGAGAGAGACTCTCAGCTGACAGCTCTTCACTTTATTATGGAAACTGTGATGTGCGTGAAGCAGCCGCTCAGCCGACAGTTTGTCAGGAGAATCATTAGAGGACAAAATAGGTGGAGGAGGGATTCTTCATGCACTGTCACTGTACGTTACTCACTCACTCTCTGCCTCTGTCTCTGTATTGAGGTCAGGACATTGTGGGAATGTGGAGCAAAAGCAGGAGATGGATGTATGGGGGGGATCATAACTGGGTCGGCGGAGGAACGCTCGTGGAGGAGTTGGTTTGTTTCAGCCGCTCAGCTCAGCTCAGGGACAATTAGATTTTTTGTTTTTTATTTTCTGAATGAGTGCACAGCAGATTTACCCAGCATGCATCTGAAGCTGAGCCACATCACCAGCCGGGGTGTTGATGCCAGCTGAAAGTCGTGACAGCAGCTGGAGGGACTAATCAGGTCGATCATTCATGTCCCAGCTCAGGATGAGTATTACAGGTGCAAAGTTTAAAATCAATCACCGACTATTATGTTAATCAATTAATCGTTTAAGTCATTTTCAAGCAAAAATTACAAATATTTGATTTTGTTTTTCTCAGGTTTAAGAATTTGCTGCTTTTCTTGTTCTTTCTTGTTAGTAAATTGAATATTTCTGGAATGATTAATCAATAAAAATAATGAGCGCATTAATTGGTAATGAAAATCATTGGTAGTATTGGTATTTGTCCCAACATTTTTGTTAATACCTGCAAAACTAAAGACATTCCCGTGAGCCTCAGCTGTTCTTTGTGCTAATTAGCAAATATTAGCACACCAACATGCTACGCTAACATGGTTAACATGTGTAACATTGAACTAAACATGATTATGTAAGTCTTAATCTTTATGGTTATTTTGTTTCTTTTGTAGTTGTGTCTCTTTGTGGTTGTTTTCTGTCTCTTTGTGGTTGTTTTGTCTCTTTGGGGTTGTTTTGTCTCTTTGTGGTTGTTTTCTGTCTCTGTCTAGTAGTTTTTGGTCATGGTAAAGAAGTAATAGTTGCAGTAGTGGTGGTAGTAGTAGGAGTAATACTAGTAGCACGAATGGTACTTGTAGTAACAGTAGTAGAAGCAAGAGTACTAGTAAAGCCTGTGGTTATAGTAGTAATAGTAGAACTAGTTACAGTACTAGTTGTAACAAACATGTCACACTCTGATTCCTCATCAACCTCACGACCCCGTTATCCAATCAGAGTCCTTTGTGTGAACCGGGTCATCGCCTTCACCCCGGTCTATTTTTACTGTCCGAGTCGTGTGATTGGATGATGTCATTGTCACTCGAGTTTAAGTCACCGCCGATAAACTGTCAAAAGAGAGAGAGAGAGAGATTTACCAACAACATACAACAAGCAGGGAGAAATGAGTGAGGAGACACACACACACACACACACACACACACACACACACACCAACAGTGACCCCGATTTTGTTGTCTGCCAAGTAAACAAACTTTCATTGTTTGTAACCCGCTCTGTTACCACGACGATCAGTGGCCCTCTGACCGGTTGCTACGGTAGCGCATGGCAGCACACACACATACACACACGTTTCTCACTGTCACTGCTTTGTCTCTACGATGAAAGAACAATTCACCAAATTCCCTTGAAAATTCAGTTAATTTTAGCTTTGTTTTCCTTTTTTTCAGTAAATGAATCAAACTGATCAAATCAATTCAGGTATTTAATCAATTATAAACACGTTCTGGTAAATTCAGCTCAGGAAAACCACCACACTCGAATCACTGAGTAAAACTAAGTTTTAATGTAAAGAAATAAAGTTTGTGAGCGGATCCAAACAGCTTGAGCGATTATTCAAAAAGAAAGTAAAAGACAAACTGTAGAAACAGAAACTAATTAAGAATAAGTATAAAATGATGTAACAGCCGCTTCATGGACTGGACGTGCGCCAGATTCCTCTGCAGAGATCTGAGACGTGGGTTCACTGTCACTTTTGCCCACGAGCAAGGCAGCATTAAAATCACTACATTCTCAAATGGAGTTTGGTTCTGACAAATGAAGGGATCAGCAGTAATCAGGTCAGGATGGCAGCAGTAACACAACTACTACTACTGGACTACTACACATACACACACACACACACACACACACACACATACACACACACACACACACACACACACACACACACACACACACACACAGGGCATCCTGGGTTGTTAACACGATTACATTGGTGGTTTGAAGGAAGAAATCGGGCGATCAAACAGAGATGTGAGATTAAGTTATGTAACATCACACACACACACACACACACACACACACACACACACACTCATCTTTAATTCAGCAGCAGGAAGTGTACATCTTTTTCGACATGTATCCAGAACTTCACACGGGGGACCCAGCATGTGTGTGTGTGTGTGTGTGTGTGTGTGTGTGTGTGTGTGTGTGTTAAATAATTCAGGAGTGCAGGAATGTAAGCGATGTGAGCCATATATGGACTTCCTGCTGGAGTCTGTAGAGAGGAGTAAACAAAGCCGAGGAGAAACAGATGTTTGTCTTTAACTGTGAAATATAAAGAGAGTGAAAAGTGCTGGAAAACATCAGTGGAGCCACAGAATATTAATCAGCAATAGTTTGATAATTGATTAATTGTTTTTAGTCACTAATCAAGAAAAAAATACTCAACATTAGCAGATTTCAGCTTCTCAGATGTGACAATCTGCTGCTTTTCTTTGTTTTAAAATCACAGTAAACTCAACGTTTTCTGTTTTATTCCAGGTGGAATCAGGATATTTTGAGTTGTTTTATTATTTCATGATTTTTGTTTCAGGTGTTTTATCTGTATTTTGTTCTATATGTTCCTTCTTTAACATGTTACATGTTCTCATGCTGCTTTTATGTTTTACTGAGCCATCAGTAGTTTTCCACTGGAGTTCTATTCTGTTCTATTCTGTTCTACTTGGTTTCACCTCGTGTTCATGTTTTAGGTGAAATTATTTGCTATGAACCTTTTGAAACCGTCTGAAACCTGTTGCTTTACTTTAGTCGTGTTTAAGTCTGTAACAAACTCGTTTTATGCCAAAAGATAAAGAGACTTAGACCATGTTTGTTTAAAGTTTCCTTTCAGATGAGATCAGGGACACGACTGAAGAACAGAAGCTTCTTTTATTAAATATACTGAATTAAAATGTGGTTAATTTGTTTAGTTAAATTACTAATATTAAAATTATAGGATTAAACCCCAATAATGATCCACATCCCTGAAGACGGTGTGTGTGTGTGTGTGTGTGTGTGTGTGTGTGTGTGTGTGGTGCTGTTTGATCGCACAGAGAAAACAAACACATCAAGTTTCAATGACACACACACACACAAAAGCAAATGTTTAATGTTGCGTAATATTATTAATGTTTAATTAACTATTATCTAATTACAAGGCGCTTTTGAAAGTGACACACTCACATTGACACACACGCTGACTCAGTGTGAAAGTCGGTGTGAGTCGGATTTTTCCGAGTCGTTCACCTCTGCAGCTCCTCCTCCTGCTCTGACATCATCACCACATGTGATCACACGTTAATAAATGTTAAATATGTAAAATATTGATGAGGTGATTAATTAAAAGAACCAACTGTGACACTGAGAAGCTTTAAATAAAAGTTTACTAAAGTTTTTCTTTTCTTTTCTCTCAAGCTCTTGGCCCATGTGTCTCCCGACCTCTGGATTTGACCTTTGACCCTTCAGCAACCTGTGATGCTCCTAAAGCGATGACCCATCTTCATCATCGTCACTCCCCCCATCGCCATGGTCGCCCATCCCCTCGGTGACCAACCTGTCCACCACCAAACCCCCCACCTCCCCTCTCGGCTCCCGTCCAATCGGCCGCGGGAATGCACGTGATGGCCAGCGTCTCCCCGGCCAATGAGAGGCAGGGTTTCTCCCTCCAAGAGGAGGGCGTGGCCGTCGCCGTGCCGACGTCTCCTCCTTCTCCTCCTTTGAGATTTTCTGATATCGAAGGCAACCGGACAAAACCGCCTCCCCCTGCCCCCGCTCCCCCTCCCCCTCCTCCTCCTCCTCCTCCTCCTCTTCTTCCTCCTCCTCCTCCGCCGCCTCTACTGCCCCTGATTCCAGGGCTGGGAGACCCCGCAGGAGGAGGCCTGAGGAAGAAGAAGAGGGTGAGGAGCTTCTACTGGAAAACGATACCTGAGGAGCAGGTAAAGTCACAGCTCGGCATCACAGATCCACACTTTATTATAGTAAAGCCCTGGATATACATGTGTGTGTGTGTGTGTGTGTGTGTGTGTGTCACAGGTGAAGGGGCGGCCCAACCTGTGGACTCAGAGCCCAGTACAGCAGCAGTACCAGATCGATGTCCACACCATCGAGGAGCTGTTTGGTCAGAACGACTGTCAATCAAAGGACAAGGCCACGCCCACCAGGGGAGGGAGGAACAGGAGCTCGTTCAGAGAAACCAAAGAGGAGGTGATTGATTTGTGTCTCTTCGTGGTCGATGTGTCTTTAACGGAGCTCTGTGACTTTCAGACGCTCTGGCCCCATGACCTCTGGGCCTGTGTGTGTGTGTGTGTGTGTGTGTGTGTGTGTGTGTGTGTGTGTGTGTGATGCAGGGTGGTGTGTGCCGCTGTTTGTTGAAGGTGTGGAGGAGGTGAAGTGTGTGTGGACAGTTTCCACCTGGGCTGTGACCTTAAACTGACACCTGCTCACCTTTCTCTCTCTCTCTCTCTCTCTCTCTCTCTCTCTCTCTCTCTCTCTCTCTCTCCCTCCCCCCCTGTGTCCTTCTATGTCTCTCTACCAGATCTCCATTCTGGACTCTAAGCGAGGGATGAACGTCGGGATTTTCCTCAAACAGTTCAAGAGGTAAATCTGACCACGAACAAACGACAAGATTTACAAAATAAACATTTCACAATTTAATCAAATCACCTCTGAAAACAAATAATGCATGTTCCAGGAAGGTGAGTGTTGGGTCAGAGGCTGTTCCCCTAATGAGGCGTCTCCCCAGCTGCAGGGAGCTGCACTACAGAAGAGTTTTAGCCTGAGGAAGCCTGATAGATTCATGACTGAAGGTTTAAGTGGCTCCGGTTTAGATCCCTGATGCACCAACAAAACAGTCTTGGTTTAAAGGCTTCTTTTTCTGAAATATGAGCAGACCGAACTCTCGACAGATTGAGTTGAGGACTTCACAAAGTGTGTTTCCATCCATCTGTTTTTATGCAGACTTTTAACTTTCCCATAAAAGACAGAGTGGAAACGCAGGAACGAAGTGAGAAGTCGGTGTATCGATGAAATGGAACAAAGTGGATAAATCAGCAGCGTGAGAGAAACGTCTCCTCCGCTGAAGACGTGGCCGCACAGCTGTCGATGACACCGTGACACGGGATGTTACAACTCTGGACGATTGATTTGGTGTCTGTGCATCAAACACTGACATGTGTCACTAAATGGATGTGAATGTGTGTGAGAGGGAGAGAGAGAGAGAAGGATGGCGTGATGTGTCTCCTCGCCCTCATCCCCAGGTGTTATGGGTAAACAGTTGTGGTGATGCCGGCGTGTTGTGACTGATTCCACGTCACGTCAGAGGAACGGGTTCATGACCACGGATGGGTCGTCGAAGGAGCCTGCGGGGCCCGAGAGTCCAGGAGGCCCCCCGGGCTCCACCTGCAATGAGTCACTGGAAGAGACGCCAAATGCTGAATACAAGAAGAAGAAGCAAAGTTAGAACAGAGAGACACAAAATGACGACTATAAGAAACAAGACAACCACAAAGAGACGTAAAGCAAAGCTAAACAAACACACAATGGCCACAATAAGATGAAAAACGACCACAAAGAGACACAAAATGGTCACAAAGATGCAAAGCAATGCAAAATGAGCACACAACAGCCACAATGACCATAAAGATGCAGACCGACTCCAAACCGATGCAAGACGAACGCAAGCACACACAAAAATACCAGAAAAATAGAAAAACGATCACAAACAGACAAAAAACGAGACTCAAAACGACTGAAACCATCACAAAGACACTAAAAAAGGAAAAGACCTTCAACGCTGTCAAACACTTTAGCGACATGTTTAAAATGAAAATCCAACCCTTTCACTTCATTTACGTTTTCTAAAGCCGATGGTTTCAACACGCGCTGACCGTGAAACAAGATGGCGTCTTGAAACCACAGAGGTTTTCAGTGGTTATGTAAACTGGAGGGAGGGAGCGCAGCGGCAGAAAGTGTCCTGAATGTGTTTGTGTTGTGTTGACAGCATCACTGTGTTCAGACTGAGTGCTTACCAAACACTGGGAGAGACATACAGGCATGAGGGAGGACGACTGACAGCTGCTGGGTCTAAAGCAGGAACTGGTTTCAGGTTTTTGCTGCTGAGGCTCCTCAACATGAAACCTTCTCCGGGTCTCAGTCGTTTGGTCTTCTTGTACCTCAGCGACGAACTTCCCAAAAGCTGTAAAGTAAAACCTTCCTTCCTCTCCAGGTCCAATCAGACGATAGTAGACGACATTCGCCAAGGCAACAGTGAGTCTTATGGGGCGGAGCCTCTGAGGGAGCTGCTGAAACTGCTGCCGGAGACAGAAGAGGTGACGCACACATGAACACACACACACACTTCACCCTGCGAACGAAACGAACGAACCCTACGAAGTCAATCGGATCAAATTACTGAGAATCACGCAGGAGATTGGGAGAAGGTTGATGGACACATGATGGAGGTTGTCGTGGTGATGGGGAGGAGGTGGGTTGATGATACTTAAAGAACGGCATCCAGCAGTTGATTGGTTTGAGGGGAAGGAAGGTTCATTGGTCAGATATGGAGACGTCCAGGTTGTGAATGGAGGGATTTCACAGCGTAGGAAGGAGGGAAGAGTAAAGGAACAAGGTAGAACGTGAGGGAAGAATCGAACTTTCACCCAAGCTTCATTAAAAACGGGGAAAGCATCCGAGTATTGTTCAGTCCGACAAGTCTTCCAACCTGTAGGTCGTTCGCCACAACCCTCTGATACGACCGATAGGAGCGTTTCCTGAGTTGGCGCCGCTCCGATGGCGACAGCTGTACCGGAAACGCGCTGTTAAGGTTATTGAACGGTCTTGGTTTGGTGACTGGTTGGTTAGGTTTGGGAAAAGAGCGTGGTTCTTGTTTAAATAAATACCTTGTTGAGGCTAGAGGACCTTTGTCGTCATCATGGCGGTAATAAAGTTGTCGATCGGTTTCACCTGGGAAACAAACAGCGGCCGATCTCGTCTTACCGCATCAACTAACTTCCTCCTTTGCTCCCGTCACAATCACTACGGCCACTATAGGTCACTTACAATAAATAATAATTATGGGTCATAAACAGACGACCTATTGGCTCGTTCGGTCCAGCTCAGTCATGTGGTCTGCTGCAAATAAGAAAGACCTTAACTTCCATTAACGTCATCATGGTGGTATTTCTTCTTCATGTGTTTCCTCTCCTACAGGTGAAGAAGCTGAAGTCGTACCGAGGCGACGTCTCGAAGCTCTCACTGGCCGATTCCTTCGTGTACCTGCTGATCCAGCTCCCCAGGTGAGACGCCCGCACCTCAACTCCAACAGTCCTCGTTTTGTGAAAGTCATCGATCCACACAAAGAATAAAGACTTGAAAACAGACGGAGCAGCGTCTCCTTCCGGATCTCACGGAGCTCTGACGCTCTCAGAGTTTGTTGCAGCAGCAGATGGTGGAAAGAATGAAAAGACTGAAGCATGAAGCTGCCTCCTTCCTGTATTTGCGAGCTTGCCCTCATATAAAAAGTGGCTCATTAATTCCTCTCTCTCTCTCTCTCTGTAGTTACCCCGTCCGTGTGGAGTCCATGCTGCTGAAGGAGGAGTTTCCCGTGGCGTGCGAGGTCATGAAACGAGACATTAGGATCCTCCGCTCTGCCACCAGAGGTAACGTCACTGCATCAGGACGCCACAGTCTCTAGCTCTCTCAGCATCACACGTCTGTGTTTGGCAGCTTCAGCAACTGTGGAAACCTCTTGGTTGGGAAACGATGGTCGTCACGGTTCAAAGAAACCGACACCGACTGAAACAGGAAACAAGCAACAAGCTTCTTTAAAACCTAGAAACTTTGTTTAAGTTCACCATATCATCTAAATCAGGCTTGTTCCAGGTTAATAAATAAAATAAAATATAACTGGATGTTTACACACGGCTAAGAAGCTACGATAGCTTCCTCCAAAGCGATGTCTTCATGCTGTTTTAACACCGGAGCCTTTAAATATTGTTTACTTTTGTCTTTTCATGCAACAACATGTGGAAAATAAAAACGGAGACTTCCAGAGTCGGTGGTTTGCTTTGTCTCCATCTTCGCTGCAGATGAAACACTCTCCTCCCTTCACACACACACTTCACACAATGGACTATTTATAGCAGTGTGTGTGTGAACTTGATAACTTGCCTGAATTGATAACTAACCCTGCACTTGCTAACACACACACACACACAGTCACACTCTGAGGTGCACACAGGGATTTTAGGATTATAAGCTTTTTTTATTGTGTGTGAAAGTGTTTTTCCAGCACGTGATGTTTTTTATTTGTCTGTTGATGCAAATGAAGACGTCTCTCTCTCCCCCTCCCTCCCTCTGTTTTTGCTCCAGAGTTAATGTGTTGTGAGGAGCTCCATGCTGTTCTCCACCTGGTGCTGCAGGCTGGAAACATCCTCAACGCTGTGAGTGGAAAAAACTGCATTAATGAACAATTAGGAAATAAACAAACAGAGAGAGATGGATAGAAGATGTAGGAGGAGGGAGGACGGTGTAGAAAGCTGTTTAGTTAACTCATTAACGCAGTTTTCCTCTTTTAATTTGCCTTAAAGTAGCTTTAATGTTAATCATGTTATTCCACACTGTCTGGCAGTATCATATATACATGTGTGTATATATAATATACATGCAGACTATAGACTCTACACTTCTCAGATGTGATGTGTGTGTAACGGCTGTGTCGGTTGCGTTGCAGGGAGGTTACGCAGGAAACGCCGTGGGCTTCAAGCTGTCGTCCCTCTTGTCTCTGGCCGACACCAAGGCCAACAAACCGGGCATGAACCTGCTGCACTTCGTCGCTCTGGTCAGTAACGACGCCGCCGCTCGTGCAGGTCGATAGTGTCGTATGGAGACGACAGACATGATGACATGTTTCCTCCTTCTCCTCCAGGAAGCTCAGAAGAAAGACGAGCGGCTGCTGGAGTTTCCTCTGAAGCTGAGTCACGTCCAGGCAGCAGCCAGGTGAGGCGTCACTGCAGGTTCACCGCTCAGAGACATTAGCTCTGCAACAGCGCCCTCTGCCTGTTCCTAAGCATTACAGCAGATTTCCCTTCTGTCTCTCTCTTCATCTCTTTGTTCTTTCATTTTTCATCTCTGTGGTTGTTTTTCTTCTCTCGGGGTCTGAACTCTTCATACAGACGCTCTGACCTCTGGACCCTGTTCAGTGATGCATTCACTGATCAAACCTTTATTATCATTTGAGGAATGTTTTTAGACTAAAAATACAACCAGACATTATTTTGTTCAGAGAGAATATTTAAAAAATATTGTTTTTCCTGATTTATTTATTTGTTGTGTAGGATCTCCTTGGAAACGCTGGACGCTGAACTCAAGAGGCTGATGTCTCGCACGCGCTCAGTAGAGGAGAACGTCCAGAGAGACACGGAGCTGCTGCAGCAACTGGACGGCTTCCTGCAGGTAAACACACCTCAGCACGCAGCAGCACCTCGCCATGATTAGTTGTGTGCTGTCTTTTGAGACTCCATATTGACTTTAGGCGAAAGGCTTTTGGTGCAGATCCTGTTCAAGGGACGGATCCAGGATTTCTCTCCTGGGTCCCACTCTAGTTTGTTCTCATGGCCGTGTCTCTCATTCCTCAGGCGGCGACCTCGTCTCTGTGCTCGCTGCGGGGGAGTCGGCAGCAGCTGAGGAAGGAAGGCAGCGAGCTGATCGACTTCTTCTGTGAGGACAGAGACGCGTTCAGACTCGACGACTGCTTCGGCATCTTTCACACCTTCTGCTCCAGGTTCAGCCACGCCGTCAAGGTACGCAAACACGCAGACGTTCACACACACACACACACATTTACACTTCAACATCCACTTCAGCAGCTGCCGTTTAAGTCAGCAGGAACTCTCCTGCCACCTGAATAGAAACGTAATGTCTTTCTGTCTCTACAGGAGAACGTGGAGCGGGAGGCTAAGGAGGCCGCCCGACGCCGGCGCTTGCAGGAGCTGGAGGAGCAGAAGAGGCACTCCTGGGCCGGTGGCGAGGAGGTAGGACGACTCACAACCAAACGCCGAAACACAAAGACGCACAAACTGCTCGATTAGTAATCGATTTCCACTGTGTGATCCTGTCGTAGGTGTCTGGAAGCTTCAGGTTGCGCTGCAGCAGCGAGACGGACATGTCAGCTGCCATGTCACGACACGACGAGGCCGGGCTGCTGATGGAGCTCCTGACCCCGAAGTCCCGCCCCCGCTCACCCCTAAACAACAGTGTTCTGGGGCGCTCAGGGAGTTTACGACGTTCCCGGAACTCTCCATCCAGCTCGCCGTCTCTTGCTGCCGAGCGCGAGCTGAGCACGCTCCTAGGAATGGCGACCTCTGACCCCAAAGTCGGCCAGCAGAGAGGAGGAGGAGGAGCTTTTCGATCGGCCTCGCCTAAACCTTCCCCTCAGACTCTGCCCCAAAGTCCAGGGGTCACCACATGCAGCTTCCCCCAAAACCAGCAGCCTCAGTCGGGCGAGATCGCACCACAAACCCCCTCGTCACCTCCCGAGACAAACGCACATCACACAACAACCACTTACCTCAGCTACGCTGCTCCCCAGACTCCAGCAGACGTCGTCGATCCCACAAAGAAACCTACCTCTGATTCACACCAGCAATCTGACCACAACAACAACAACAACGGCGACGACAGACTCGGTTTTAGCAGCCGGACGAGGGGGGAACCGCCGAGAACGAATAAAGCCGGTCGGGCCGTTAGTGGACGAATCACCTGCAGCGACGAGAGCTTCGACTGCGACGCGACAGGCGGCATGTCTGTGGTTTTAGAAACGTGCACGCTGGTGCCTGAGCTGAGGGTGTTTGACAAGGTCGCCACCTCGACCGGTCGCGACGAAGGGCATCACACCAGTCGCCACGAGGACGACGTGTTCATCACGGATCTGGAGGAAGAGGAAGAGGGAGAGGACGAATCCCAGACTGGGAATGTAGAAAAATCTGGGGTGGGAAGAGATGAAGAGGAGGAGCCGGTGATTGTCTGGTGTGTGACAGGTGTGTGTGAGGCGGCCGGCGAACTCGCACACACGGACAACACACATGTACGGACTGATAAGGATCCGTGTCGGACTGACAATCAGGGAGGAAACCAGCCAGCTTCCTCCGCCTCAGCCAATCACACGCCCTCAGAACCTCAGCCAGCCAATGAAAAGCCAGTGCCTGTACCCATCAGCAGCCAACCAGTGCCTGTCTCCCGCTGTGACGACCCGTCACGGCAAGCCTCTTCCCCCAGGTGGCGCCCAGCAGAGCCTGCATCAGCCAATGGAGCGCCTGCTCTCACCACAGATGCCTCCGAGGAAGGTAAGGAACCGGCCAATCACAGGGAAGAAGCAGAGGGCTCCACCAATGACACAAGAGATGAGGAGACCCGCCCAGAACAATCAACAGACGGCAGGGGAAGAAGCAACGCTTCCACCAACAGAAAGGCGGAACCAGCAACTTTGTCCAAACCGTCCACCAGGAACACCTTAACCTCAAAAACCCGACCCGCGGCGTCGAAACCCAACGCAACCACAAGCTCCGCCTCCACCGCTAACAAGTCCAGACCCGTCAGGACTCTCACCACCTCCGAGAACCAGGGCATGAGGCGTGTTGTGCCCATCTCCCGAACCAGCCGACCCGAGAAGCCTCCTGCCCACCACCGGGGATCCTCCAGCTCCGCGGCGCCCGCCAGTCTGACCGTCTCCAACCCCAACAGCAGCACCTCCCTCCGGCGTGGAGAGAGGCCCTCCACTGCTCCTTCCTCCCGACGATCCAGCATCCACAAAGACTCGAAAGACCAGAAGATCTCAGGTCCTCAGAACCAGGACTTGCAGAGGAAGCCGTCCGTCCGAAAACCTGTAACAAAACCCAAACCCCAGCCGGAGGAGAAGATGTGTCGCTCCACGCTGCGAGCGCTCGCTCAGGCCGGAGGAGGAAGTGGAGGAGGCAGCATCAGTGCTCCTGCCACCCCTTTGCACAAAGCCGCTACCCCGTCATCATCGCCGCTTCCGGGTTTCGCCCGAAGCACCGCCTCCTCTTCTTTCAGACGCACCGCACTTCCTCCTCATTCACCCCACACTGGCTCAGACTCCTCCCATAAACCCTCCCCCAAGACCACCACCACCACCTCCTCCTCCTCCTCCGTCGCCCCGCCCGGCAACTCGTCGCCTTTCACCCGAGCAGGCTCAGTGAGAGTCTCCACCGCCTCCAGATCTTCAGACCTCCTCAACCCGTCCTCCTCCTCCTCCTCCTCCCCGTTGAGGAGGTCTCAGAGCATCAGGGCGTCTCCTCGCTCCCCCCTCCACGACTCGCTGGCTCCTCCTAAAGGCCACCGGCGGAGCGACAGCGGCAGCTTCTCCGACAAGTCCTCTCACTCCAGAGACTCGGTCAAGGCCGCGAGGCCGAGCTGGAGATAACAGGAGAGATCTACGGCCGCATTCCAACATGAACTCTGTGCAGAACCTTCCCCTCTGTACTGGGGGTAGAAGGCAGTGGACACATTCCATTATGAAGTGTAGGATCTAATTTATAGAGGAAGAAAGATGCATTCCTCGGCACAACTCACAAGTTTAGGTGGAGAAACAAAGGAGGTCACATTCCAATATGAAGCACAGACAGTTTCCTTTTCTCTGAAGGTTGAGAGGCTTCGTTAAAGTATGAAGATTAATTTAATTTGTCTTTTTTTGAAGGCACTAAAATATGAAGAATAAACCGTCCCCGGGGTTTTTCTATTAAACACTGTTGATCTAAGTGATAATTACAAAGTGCATTCCAATATGAAATATATTAAGGATACACTCTGGTCCTCAGGTAAGCTGCAGAAGTTCATCCACGCATCCCTGCAAAAATATTTGGCGTTAGAGGCTCGTGATGTGACGACTGCTCGCAGGGATGCTAACGCTAACACACTACCCAGCTGGGAACATGCTAGCAGCGCCAGTCAGTCACAACTTTTCTATTCTGGCATTTAATTCATCGAGTTGTGCATCATTTCATATCATTTATTCAAATATCGCATAACCATCCTCTTTTGTCTGATGGTGACGGTGCAACAGTTGGAATTGATTCATTTTGACATTTCAAAACTTACTTGGAAAGAAGGGGAACTGTTTGAAACACAGCAGGTGTTCTTGGCGCGGCAGGTACAGGCTACTTTTCCAGATGAAGTGGATGTTGCTGCAGTTCTGTTCTCAGTCATGCAGCGTTTCCTTCTCTACAGGCAGGGACTCCATGTGCCACGACGAGCTGTTTGTCTTTTGAGTTCAGCATTGTGATATCTAGAAGCCGACAGCCTCAGGTGGTGTCGTCGCACCTGTTGAATACACAGACTTCCTAAAGTCAAAGAGGTCTTCTTCCAGTTTGTATCATGGACACGTTTACTGAAACAATTCATCGACGAAACAGATTGGTCGTCAGTTCTATCCTTTATCGACTAATTATCACACAGGTAACATTTATAACCCCAGATTCCTGTGGTTGCTAACTTTTATTTTGAAGCCAGACAAAGGGACCAGACCCTAATATCAAGTACACACACGTTACGCAGCCTTCGAACGTGCTAAATGTCACCACAGACCAAGCTAGCCGACTCCTCTGAGCTCCAGTGAAGCTCCTGTGAAGCTTTCAGACACTATCCATTCATAGCTTCGTTTTCCTGTAAGCTTTGTTCCAAAATAAAGTTCAGCAAGAGTCTCCCGTGTTAAACCTCTGGAGCTCAGCGACAGTTTTCCAGACATCACAAAGCTTTTTATAATTCGTGTCCCAGAGAAAATAAAGCATGAAGAATAAGTTGTAGCCTCCTGAGGTCCAAGCATGGACTCCCTGGGCCTTCTGAGCGCTGCCACATCAGTAGTTTACATGTGAAGGAAATAAATGTATGCATCCATGAATGTGTAATGAGATTTAAAGAATAAATACCCCGTCTTCTCTGCAGTGTTTATGGTAAGTGACGTGACTGAATCCCGGCTGGGTGTTTCCTGTTTCCTCTTAAATTCCTCTTTGATTCTGCACCTTTAACTTCACTAACCAAGCTGAGGAATCTGGCCTGATTGAAATAGGAATTATATCATTATTATAATTATCATTGTATTTAAAAAAAATTTTAAAAATGCTAAATCACTGAGAATCATATAGTTTAAAAACAGAGTGTAGATTTAGACGAGGAGATATTTAAAGTGTCTCTGATTCAAACCAACAGTGTCTGACTCACTGGGAAAAGTCTGCGGTGCCAACTTTGTTAATATGAGGATATTTGTATGTTTGTGTATCTATTTATGTATGTATGTAGTTAATATTTGATATATATAATCTAACTACTAATTAATAAAGTATTATTCCTCCAACTCACCGCACGTTGTTTCTGTTTCTGTCTGGATAATCGAATTGCCTGACTGTTCCATTTAAAAAACATACATGCATATATTTTTTGATTATATTTATTATGATAATCTGTTTGTCCGGTGATCCACCACTTTGGTCCAGACATTTATTTTCCCATCAGGATGAACTGTAAGAATTTGGTGATCCGTAAAACTTTAAATCTAGCGCCATCATCAGGTCAAAATGTTTTAATTCAAAAGGGAAACATCTCGAATGGACTATTTGACCATTTTATCGTCTGGAAAAGATATTAATAATCAGTTTATACTGCAGCTGTTTTCCAGAACACAAAATGTGCTGGTGGAGGATTTTCCACAACCTGGCAACCAAAAAGTTGTCGTCATTAGGCGTTTAACTGATGTATAAAGCGTTGGTAAATGATTTATTAACCATTAATAAAGCCATTAATTAACTTATAAGCCCTGTATAAATGGTGCATTATCAGAGAGTGGTACCAACAGCGTGTCTTGTGGAAAGCACGATGTGATCTGTGCTGTAGTTTCACTGGTGTTTGTGAATAATTTGTTATTTATTTGTATTTTCGAGTCATTTTTTTTGATGAAATCAACAAATATTAAACCGTTTTTTTTTAAATTAACTATTACAACAATAAAATGTGAATGATTTAAAGTTGTATTATGCCTTTGTTGAGAATAATCACAGATTGTTTGAAAAACAAAAAAAAAAATCACGGAACGGCGCGTAGTGCGTAAGCAATACGTCATCAACCGGCGTCAAACAAAGCTCCATGTGCAAGAAGAGAAACAACCGAAGCGGAGGAAGTTTAGTTTTTGTTTCTAGTTAGTCATGAAAACACATAAAAACATAAACCTGGAGGTGGAGAAGTTTGTCCTGAAGTCGAGTTGTTTGGTTTCGAGCTGAAGAACTGAAGCTTCCGGGAAGAAGAATAAAGAAGAAGAGGACGAAAGGAGAGAAAAATAAAAGTCCTGGTGTTTAAAAATTAAAGTCCGGTGGAGCTGGAGGGGAAAGTTTGTGTTTTTAAAGGTAAGTCTGTTTTAATTTACCACTTTTATCTTGGTTTTTAGCCTGGTACCGGTATTTTAGTAACGTTTCAGTGCTTTTCAGGGAATAAACTGCGAATACTTCCAGATACTTTACCAGTAAGACAGACATTACACTGCATTTATCTGACTCCGAGAGTTTAAGCTTTTAGACACAATAGCTTTTAAAATGTGATGCACAGTAAAAACCTTTTTTCTTTTAATTTTAATATGCATAATCAGTATTTTTCATGCTGTAATGCCAAATATTTCAGTTTCAGCTTCTCAGATTTGATCATTTGCAGTTTTTCTTTCTTAAATCACAATGAACTGATTCATGTTCAGTTTTAATCATTAACAAAACAAAATACCTGAAGGTTTCTTTGAGGTCTGATAAAACAATAAATAAACTTATAATTAATGTAAATAATACTTTATTTGATAATCATAATAATACTGTTTTTACTTTAAATTAGGGAGAAGTAGAATTGTGATTGCTGTAGTTTTATTGTGATTGTTGTCATTCGTGTGTTGATGTCGATCCTTTGTGTCTCCTCAGGATGTGTCTTTGTACTTCAGCAGTGTGACGAACAAAACAGATGAGCGAGGAAAAGATGGAGAGAGAGAGTCATGAAAGGAGAGAGGAGGATGAGGAGGAGAGGACAGTACAAACTTCATCCAGGAGGAGAGAAGAAGAAGAGGAGGAGGAGGAGGAACTAGAGAGGTTGAGGGTGAAAGACTTCAGATACAAAGTGCAGAGAGAGCTGATTGGTGGACACACTCCGATCTCCGCCTCCTCCTCCTTCACCTCCTCCCCTTTCCTCTCCTCCTCTCTACACCGAGGAGGAGGAGGAGCAGGAGGTGAGGATGATGGGGAGGAAGACGAGATCAGAGTAGCCATAGTCACCATCGAGGACGAGTCCTGTCCGTCTGAGCCTTTTGGCACCACCCAACTTGAAACAGCCAATCAGATCACACGGACAGAGGACGGAGGAGACAAAGTGAAGGAAGAGGAAGAGCAGGGGGAGGAGACGGAGGGTGAGATGGAGGAGGAAATAGAAGAGGAGGAGGTGGCAAACAGTGATGAAAGAGAGGAGGAAGAGGAGGAGGAGGAGGAGAACGCAGAGGTGACGTCACCATCGCCGCACCTGCAGAGCCAGGTAAGACCTCATCCCGTCGCCTCATTGGTTCATGAAGGGAGAAAAGTTTGAGGGTTGTGAGTCTGTTTGTGAACGTCATGTTGTGACTTCATTGCAATGCTGCGGGTCAAAGGTCAGAGCGAGTTGAAGGCTGCAGGTCGTGTCTTACTGTGTGTCTGTTGCTGGACCATCGGTTCAGCAGCAGTAGATGATCAGTGTTGAGGACGTCTACAGTTAATGAGCGAGATATCGATGTAGCTCGGTCTTCGTCCATTAAGGCCTTTGTATATAAGGAGGGGGAGGAAGAAACAGGAAGTTAAACTGGACTGATGTGGTCTCTCTTGGTTCTGGTTCACAGCCGAGCTGCAGAGTTTTGTTCAGTGCATCACAGCGATGAAGTCGGCTTCAGCATCTTTTTATATTTATAAATGTTTGAACTTTCGCTGTTTCTAAGGTGGAAACCTGATGTTTTTGTCCCCTGGTTGATGTCGGACGTGAAGCTGTGACCTCAGATTTAAAGTATTATTGTATGTGGATGGAGGCAGATGAACTGAGATCTGAGAGAACGATCTCTGCAGTGTGTGACAGCGTCCAGCAGGTGGCAGCAGCTCCCTCCTCATCTCCTCACTGTCAATCACACTGAAGGTTTCTTTAAACACAAACACTGACACCTGATCAGTGAGTGTGTGGTCTGTGTTTGTGGTGGTTCAGGTGCCAGCTGATGACATCAGCGTCTGTGTGTGTGTGTGTGGGGGGGGGGGGGCGTTCAGGGGCCATTGTGTCTCCTGTTTGGTCGTCTTTACAAACAAACACCAGCTGCTCTGTCTCTGTGTGTGTGTGTGTGTGTGTGTGTGTGTGTGAGGTCGAGTGTGTGACTGAGAGAAAGTGTGTTTCTCCTTTTACTCTTTACAAAGTAACTACTCTAATATAATAATTTCTCATTTATATTACTAATGATTATAATTCTGATTCAGGTATAAATACAGATAAAACTTAAATACATTTTTAAAAATTTGAATAAAGTAGGTTTTATTCGTAGGTATAAAACAGACAAACAGATAATAATAACAACAACAGACAGAGGCTAAAGAATCAGAACAACATACAGACCTAATGAAAGCCATTAACACAGACAGACAGACAGGTATTGATGAGTATTGATTGTTAGGAAACACTGACGGTTATAAAAGGCGGTTTGTCCAGGATCGATCCAGGATCCTCCAGATGTGTTTTGAGTGATTAAATGTGGAAACTAAACCCTTTAATAACTGTATAAACTATATTTAAATCAACGTATATGTTGAACACACCTGCATACACCTCAGTTTTAAAACGACTGATTGGTTTCAGATTGGAGCTGGTTGATTGGTCGATCGACTGATAACTGATAAATCATCTAATGTGAGAGTTTCTCCATCTTTCTCATCATAGACTGAATATATTTGAGGTTTGGATTGTTGACCAGACGAAAGGTACTTGAACGCCTCGTCTTGGAGAAACTGTGATTCGAATGTTTGAGCATTTTCTGAAATTTAACCAGAAAATTTATCGATTTAATCCAAAGAAGAATCGTCAGATTAATCGAATCGTTAGTTGCAGCCACACTTTCTTACTCTCTGATAAGTTAACACACACACACACACACACACACACACACACACACAGACAGACAGACGGTAGGTGTGTGTAGGAATGTGCAGCAGTGAACATTCCTCAGATTCCTCGCACAACTCGTAGCTCCATCGGGATCATGGGATATGAAGTCTGCTCCTATGGGAACTGCCATCTGAACACACACACACACACACACACACACAGACATGATGGGACGCCTGATGATGATTAATTCCTGTCCAGCTGTGTCGTTCTGTCTCTGACCACTAGAGGCAGCGCTGTGGTTTTATTTCATTCAAATCACATGAAAGCCGATTTTTGAAGATCAGATTTGGTGATGGACAATTCATTTCTCCCACTGTGTGTGTGTGTGTGTGTGTGTGTGTGTGTGTGTGTGTGTGTGTGTGTGTGTGTGAAGCAGATAGACAGAAAAACTAGGGCACTAATCTGGGGAGATATGCTCTGTAATCTAAGAGCATTTTTTCTAGATTACTACACATACAGGAGATTACACACACACACACACACACACACACACACACACACACGTGCAGGAATTATATTAATACAGTTTAATACTCGTTCAGAGGTTTATCTTTGTTTTAAACCAGTTTTTGTGTCTCTGTCGACAAAGTCAATCTGTTTGATAATTCACTCAAATGTTACACACACACACACACACACTGATCATGCTAGGGTCAGCTGACTGGTATGAACACAAGCACATTTTAGCAGCAGTGGCATGTCTGGTATGTGAACACACACACACACACACACACACACTTCACAGTGTCCTGAACGAGGTGTTTTCAGAGGAAGGATGAACCTGAACGTGTCACGGTGTGTTTCCTGTCAGAGGACCTCGTGTGCTGCGTTCATGTCCCTGAGCAGGAAGAGTTGATTTTCATGTTGTGGTCACAGTCTGAGCTGCAGGTCCTGTGACTACCCCACACACACACACACACACACACACACACACACACAACCGTTAGAGAAGAAACAGCTGTAACACAGTGGAAAACACACACCAGATGTGAGTGTGTGATTGTAGCACGTTAGCAAAGTCCACGTCCAGCGGAGGACGATCGTGTCCTCGCTCGGCCTGTTTTAACGAGGAGACTCTGACTGTGTGGAGCCAAGTTTCCAAAATGGATTTCTCTCTCACTAATGGCGATGATGATGATGATGATGATGATGATTGATGGAGCTCAGAGAGTGAAATCAAACGTCTGGCCCAACATATGCCCGAGCTTCCCCGGCGCGAGTCTGGCCCATATACGTCCACATCTGGGCAGATTTCAGCTGTTATCCTCCGGTGTTGTCTGACAGCTGTGTGTGCGTCCAGATGTGGGATCGACATCTGACAGTCGTGCTGTATATGGGCCAGAATTGGGCCGTGGAACCGAGCGTGTACTGGGCCAGAAGAAAACAAGCACATGGGCCAGGTGTGGGCCGGATTTACTTTGCTGTCTTTGAGAGTTTGATCCCACGGAACAGGATTACGGCCACATGTCGGACTTCCTGTCACACAGCATCTGAACAAGTGAAGCCAAAACATCTCGATCGCCCCCTGGTGGCGGCTGCAGTATTGTCCATAAACCCCGCCCCCTTCCGTGTGAGTGGGTGGGACTTGGGCCGAACTTCTCCCAGTCATTTTAGGTCGTTGTTATCGCGCTGGTGTTTGTTCAATGGACAGGTTTGGTTTTAATTCGTTATTTGATGCTTTAAAACGGCAGTGTGATGTCATGATTGACAGCTGTGATTGACGCACGATTGGGTCGAGCAGGT